ATCCAGAATCTGGCTAGTCGCCTTTTCAGATACCCCAGCCCTTACTCAGGACTCTCCTAATCAGTTCTGTGTTCCCAGGTTCCTCCCTTGGGGCCTGCTCACTGTTGCATCTACAAATGGTCACCATCTCTAGCAAAAACTAGAATAATGCCTTCCTTTAATTTTATTTTTATCTAGACTTCCATCACTTGGGATGTTTGCCTGCTGGAAGGTGAAGGAGATCACGGACAGAGAGTGAGTAGCTAATAAAGGTACCATTTGGCTTAATGCTTTGAAACATTTGTTAGATTTACACATGAACAAGTTGATATCTTCAGCTAGAAGCTTTCCTAGTATTGGGAAATATGCTTCCTGTGGGGCTGGAGAGATGGCTCAGCAGATAAGAGCACTGGCTGCTCTTCCAGAGGATCTGGGTTCAGTTCCCAGCACCCAGATAATGGCTCACAATCATTTGTAATTCCAGAAACAACCTCTTATATAACCTCTGTGGGCACAAACATGTATGCAGGCAACACCCATACAAATAAAAGCAAAATAAATAAACCTCCAAAAATGCTGCCAGTGGTGGGTACAAGGAGAAACCCTTCCAGACATCCTGAAAGGATACAGGAGCATGCTGTGAAGCAAGGACTTTTCAGTGTTTATTCCTTAGTATTTGTGCTCACGAGTGCATGTGGGGCCAGAGGACAGTCTGCAGGAGTCAGTTCTGCCCTTCCAACACGCGGGCTTCGGGGTCGAACTCGGGCACCCCTAACCCTGAGCCATCTCAATGGGATTTATGATATAGATATCCAGGGATTGACCCCAAGACTGCCTTCGCCCTGGCCCAGGTGCTGCTGGGGATTTCCTCTAAGTTGGATGGCAGTTCCTCCCACCAAGCCTGCTACGCTTTCTGCTCATGTTGGGGTGACCATGGACCATGTAGAATCTAAAACTCCTGAAATAAGCTGTTTTCTTTTCCTTTATTCTGCAGTGCTAGGATCAAATAGAGCCATGTGCATGGTAGGCAAATGGTCTACAACTGGACTACATACCCAGCGTAGAATATGCTCTTCTATTTCTTTTTTTCTTTCTTTCTTTTTTCTTTTTTTTCTTTTTTTTTTTTTTCCTGGCTTTTCAAGACAGGGTTTTTCTGTGTAGCTTTGGAGCCTATACTGGTACTCACTCTGTAGACCAGGCTGGCTTCAAACTCACAGAGTTCGCCTGTCTCTGCCTCCAGAGTGCTGGGATTAAAGGTGTGCACCACCACCACCTGGCTAGCTGTTGTCTTTCTTTATCCTAATTCTATAAAATTAAAAATCTTTCTTTGGGTGGGTTGGAATATACTGAACTATAGTTTCTTGCCAGATGTGGTGACCCATGTCTGTAATCTCAGCATTTTGGGGTTGAGGCAGGAAGAATCTTTCCCATCAGCTGGAGGAAAATCTGGGCTACATAGTGAGTTTCAGACCAGCTGAGGCTATAGTATGAGACCTTGTCTCAAACAAAGTAAGAGTGGACAGTGGTTCAGTTGTTGATCTTACATTGTATGTATATGACCAATTGATGACTGTTTTGCCTGCATGCATATCTGTGCACCAATTGATACCTGGTGCCTATGGTAGTGAGCCATCATGGGGGTGTGGGAATCGAACCTACACTGTAAGAATAACAAGTATTCTCAACCACTGAACCACTTTTTGATCTTGTAGAAGACCAGGATTGTAGGTTCCCAGCATGCACATGGTAGCTCACAACCATCTATAACTCCAGTTCCAGGAGATCCAACACCCTCTTCTGACCACTGAGGGCACTAGGCACACACATGATACACATACATACACGCAGGCAAAACACTCGTACAAGTGAAACAAGGAAATCTAAAAAAGAAAATTAAAGACAACAACAAAACTTGACTGGTTCTGCTTAGCAGTTCCTTCAACAGTTCATCGAAAACCAGAAGCCCTACAATCCCTGAAATTCCACCTGCTTCTTGTCGTTTAGGATTTAGATTGGGACTCAAAAGTGGTAGTGGAGCCTGTGCTGTTTGCCTGTTCTTCCTTCCCGGTCTTACCTATCGGCTGGAAGTAGCAGCTACCTGTGCTGTCTGTGAGCCACACAGACAGTAGTTGTTAGTAGCTTTGTAATTAATGAAATTAGGAAGGAAAATCGTGAGGCTCGTTATCAGAGAAGTCAGTCCTAAAGTATAGCCTTGAGATCCGGACTTGAAATGTGAGACTTCCCAACTAAGAGTTCTGTGGTGGATTTCATTTGTATTTTAATAGGTAAAGCTTGCCTGCGGATCAGAGAGTAAAACAGTCACACTGGTCAGACTTACAGAAAAGGCAGCAATGACACACACCTTTAATCCCAGTAGCCACACTAGCTTGTCATAGAAACCAGGCAGTAGTGGTGCACTCCTTTAATCCCAGCACTAGAGAGAAATTTAAGGGGGGGGGGGCAGCTCTCAGTCACAGTCTCATTCTGAGATTCCTGGAGGCAGGATCGCCATTTTGGACTGAGGTAGAGATGACAGCCAGTGACTGGCTGTTTTACTTTTCTGACCTTCGGGTTGACCCTCAATTTCTGTCTCTCAGTTTTTATTAATCGTGCTTCAGAGTTGGTCATGTTTATGTATGCATGCATTTAAGCTTGTGAAATCCTTTTTCTTATCAGCAAAGCATGGTCTTTACAAACCCAAGTGTGCTGGCCCTCAGGGCACGGGAAAAGCGGCACCAGTTGTCCGTGCTTGTGCGCCAAGCTCAGCGGAGCAGCACTGCGCCTGGGAAGTAACGCCCAGCTGTTCTCCATTTCAGGGCACGTGCAGCATGGCTGTAACTGGGCTCAGACTGCTCACTGGTGCTCTAAGAAAGCCAGACGCCTGGCTCGGACTCTGGGGTGTGCTTCAAGGAACCTCTCCACACAAACTCTGTGCTTCCTGGAATCGATACTTCTATTTTTCTAGTTCCAAGTTAAACGCATCAAATTATAAAACACTTTTCCGTAGCATTTTTCCTCTGCGACTCCCAGGGCTGTTAGTAGCTCCAAAATGTACTTTTCCATTTTCCATACGACTCAAAAGCAATATAAACTCCAAAAAATCCACTAGAAAGACTCTGCAAAAAGATGCAGATGAAGAGGACTCCGATGAGGAGATCCATCACCCCGAGAGGAGTGAGCAGGAAGAAGAGCTTGAGGATGACCCTGGCGTGGTCAAGGACTACAAAGACCTGGAGAAAGTGGTCCAGTCTTTCCGGTACGATGTCATCCTGAAGACAGGCCTTGATATTGGGAGAAAGTGAGTATGATGGACCTCCCGTTTGCTTGGTGTTGTGCCACACTAACTCGGCCTCTGCTCTGGGGAATAATAACCATAGTTGTGAAAAGTAGCCTATTCCATACGTCACTCTACAGATGAAAGGACTGGCTCCCGAGGAAGCGCCTGACTGCCTTTCAATCCTTGGTGCCGTGTTTCCCCGATCGGAACACGATTGGTGTGCTCTGAGTCATTGACTTAATGACATTTCTCCTTTTTCTCCACAGTGTATCCTTGTACATGGTAGGCAAGTGTTCTGCTACTGAACCATGCCTCTGACCCTAGTAACAACCTCTAAAAGAGAAAGAGATCATTTTATTAGAGGTGCATAGCTGCAAACCCCCACTGATTTCCCACATCCTACAGTCTGAGGAAGTACATTCCAGAATCAGTGGGAGGAGTAGACTGAGCGTTAGCTCAGTGGGTCAGTGTCGTTATTAAGTCTGATGACCTGAGTTCAATCCCTGGGATCCACAGAATATAAGGAAAACACTGACTCCCACAGGCTGTCCACAGACCTCCACATATGTGCCACGAACACATGTGCCCACAGCATTCACACATACACATACACACACAATAATTAAAAAAAAAAGAAAAAAAAGAATACAGTTTCTGGCCAGTGAGATGACTCAGTGGGTAAAGGTGCGTGCATATAGTCTGCCCATCTGAGCTCTAGTCCCTGATCCCAGGAGACAGGAGAGGACTGGTTCCCAAGAGTGTTCTGACCTTCCACAGACTCGCTGTGGCACGCAGTCTCTCACACACAAAAGGATGCAGTGTCTTGAGCTAGAGTGCTAGGTCAGGCCTACGATCCGAGCACCTGAGGCTAAGTGTTGGAAGCAGCCAGGCTACATACTACAATACTACAGGTGATCTCTGTGAGTTCGAGACCAACCTCAGAGCCGCTCTGAGAAATTCTGGCTTAAAAAAAAAAAAACAAAAAAACAAAAAAAAACAAGAAAAACAAGAAACAAAAAACCAAAAAGTGGGTCCTTGGGCCAAACTACTAGTATGTGACTTTAAGCATGTTAGGAATTTTGTTGTTCCTTTTTAAAATCTGTTTATGCAGTGTCTGAATGATAGGCAGCGGTGACACGTAGCCAAAAGACTCATGTGTAAGGCTGCTTCTGTCCTTGCAGCTTTGTGGGTTCCAGCTTCTGAGTTTCATCTCACAGGCCCCCTTTCACCTTTTAAAGCCACAGAATCACTCAATAGTTAGTGCTGGGCTAGAACTTACAGTTTAGTTCCTGACAGCCTCACCCTCGCTGAAATCCTGCTTTAGCCTCCTAATGCAGGACTGCAGGGACGAGCCACCAGGATTAAAATCTGTAGACACTGGCTGGGCCCACGTGTAGCAGGCACCCCATGCAGTGCACAGAAGTGGGAATTTGAGATTTCCTTAGCATATTTATTCTATCTGCTGATGTTCTGTTCTGGTGGTGCCCTTGCTGCTTGTTCATCCCTTTAGCAGTCACGGATGGTGTGTATATGAGGACGGATTGTGACAGGTGCAAACTCAAGATTTCCGCAGACCTTTAATCCCAGCACTTGGGAGACAGTCAGGGCAGTCTCTAAGTTCAAGGCCAGCCTGGTCACAGAGCAAGTTCCAGGACAGCCAGCTACTTGTCTCAGCAAAAAAATTCCCTTATGTAATGTGTATCTTTATGGAATAGTTAATTGTGTGTTTCACTTTGTTTAAATTCATGGAATATAAGAGAGCAGTGGCTATTGCTTTTATGGAGCCGAGCCCTGATGTCAGTCTTCCTGAGTCAGGTCATCAGAAGGGAGGATTTGTTTGTGTCTGTGTCCTGTCTGGTCTGTCACCAGAGATTCAGAGTGAAGAGACCGGCTGCCAGACTGGAATTACTCAACCTCAGTGCACACAGGCGGTTCCTTGATGGCATCTCTGTATGTGTGGCACCTGGTGTTTCTGTCCCCGTGCAGAGCAGGAAGCCGAGGACAGGAAGGACCCACTCATTCTGACCACTGTGACTCACCGAGCTGCTGCCATGTGGTCACTTCTGAACTGGCCCACAAGGCCCCATGCAGCAGTCACCTGCCCAAGTGCAGGGGCCTCTCGGCCTCAGAAATGCCCTGGGCTCCCTGTTGGAGATGTGTGTAGATGGTGCCCACTTTCACTTGGCACCTCACCCTTTTCACTGGAAATGCAGGGGTTTTTGTTTTGTGGGGACTCACTGGGTACTGACATCTGGTGTTTTTCTCAAAGCTGTGTGGTCGTTGAGTTTATTTACATTTCAAATCTTTTCTTTTTAATAGCAAAGTAGAAGATGCATTCTACAAAGGTGAACTCAGACTGAATGGAGAAAAGTTATGGAAGAAGAGCAGAACGGTGAGCCACCCAGCCTGTAATGACAGCCACATGGTCCTGCCTGTTGTCCTGCTGGTCAGTGCTGTCCCCAATCCCCCCTTGGGCCCTGGTGCCCTCTCTGAGGGCTTCCGTCCTGGTCACGCTGATGGAATTGTCTGTGGGCCACCATCTCTCCTCAGTCTTCGTGACCTTATGAGTCGGAAGAATTGGAATAAGCCAGTGTTAGCCCCATGGAGTCATGGAGGTAGATTACAGAGAAAGGTCTGACTGGGAAGGTGCCGCCTGAGCGGGTGGACAGTGCTGTTCACTTCGGCGGGTCTTGTAGGAGCTCTGCTCTCCGAAGGGCAGCTGGCACAACCATGTTTTGTAATTCTGACAAGTTCATGTTGATACTGTTAATTGAAAGAGGTCAAGTCAGGGTCACGATGCTTCCTTGATATACCAGCACTGGCTGGGGCCGAACATCATGAGTCCCACCAGGGCAGCCAGGGGTACACACTGAGACATTATTTCAAAATAAATAGAACCAAACAAAAATGATTCATAAGAGAATGTACTTCAATATCTGCTTTCTAACAACAGATCTGTTTGTCTGATACACACACATAGGTAAAAGTAAAATTCTATTAAAAATAGCCTTTGTGTGTATACCAGCACATGGGAAATGGAGAAAGGATCAGGAGTTATAGGCCAGATTGTGCTATGTGAGACCCTATGTCCACAATATATTCAGACATGCATATACGCACTATGTGTGTGTAGCGATAGACACGGTGACACACGCCTTGGAAGGCAGAATCAGGAAGACCGCTACAGACTCAGCCAGTTAAGTGTACTTGCCTAGTTCCAGACTAGCCAAAACTACATCTCAAAACAAACAATGTACGCATGCATGTTTATAGATATTACATATGGTTTGTGAGACAGTTTCTCTATCTAACAGCCCTAGCTGTCCTGGAACTCACTTTGTAGACCAGGCTGGCCTTGAGCTCTCAGAGATCCCCTGCCCCTGCCTCCCAAGTGCTAGGATTAAAGGTATGCGCCACCACTGCCTGGCTATGTTACATATATTCTTAATTAAAAATTACTAGTACTTAGAATAGATTATTGTGGAATATATTAAGGTTTTAAATCTTGTTTTTTGTGTATGTGTATTTTGCTTATCTGCATATGCATGCAGTTCCTGTGGAGGTCATAGGTCCCCTGGAATTGAAGCTGCAGATGACTGTGAGCCTCTTGAGAGCCCTGGTAACCAAACCAGGGTCTCTCCAGCCCCATATTCATTTTCTTCATGCTTTTTATATTTCGAAAATTAAATGCTTTTTAGATTTATGTGTATATGTGTTTTGCCTGCATATATGTATATGCACGATGTATGTGCCTGGTGCCCACAGAGGCCAGAAGAGTATCAGGTCTCCCCAAACATAGGTTGTGAGCCACTGTGTGAGTACTGGGAACCAAACCCATAGTTCTGCAAAAGCAACAAGTGCTCCTAGCTGCTGAGCCAACTCTCCAGCTCTCCTGCATTCATTTTCATGTCTTCTATTTTCTGGCTTTTTAGAACATGTATTTAGTTGTGGGAGCAGGGAATGTGGGTTCATGAACATCACAGTTTGGATGTAGAGTGGAGGACAACTTGAAGGAATGGATTCTTTCTCCCTCCTTGTGTTCAGGTCATCAGGCCTGGCTGCAAGGGCTGTGCCATCTGCCCTCACTGAGATATAAATAATGAGTGTTGACTGAGACAGAGTCTCACTATTGTTGCCCGGGCTGACCTGGAACTCACTCTGTAGATCTGCCTGCCTCTGCCTCTTGAGTGCTGGCATTAAAGAATGTTTGACCTTGCTTTTAAACCATGAGATTATATCACTTAGCAAAACTCAATAAAGGAGATATAAAAATCTTTAATTAAAAGCTAGAAAGCAGCACTTGGGCTGTATGTAGCTTGGCTGATAGAATGCTTGCCTAGCGTGTAAAGAAGCCCCGGGTTCAACCCCTCAGTGACACATAAACCTTAACCCCATCAAGAAGAAGGGTCAGAACTTCAGAGTGGGTTTGAGGCCAACCTGAAACCTGTCTTTTGGTGTCATGCTTAGAAACATAACCTGTTAGTAGTGAGGGGTGATGAAGAGACAGAGTTTGGAAGAGGGGGTTTTATTTTTCTTCCTTTCACATTCCCAAAGCCTGCTAGGTAGGATCTGCTCCCTCGCGGTGCCCTGGGATGTAGAACAGTGAGCGTGTCATCTGTTTGCATTGGTGAACCTTGAGGCTCCTCCAGTCCTTGTCCCTGGGGATCATGCAGTCGTTACTGCTGCCTCTGCCCACAGAAAGAGGGGCAGCTTCTTCCATTCTGGTCTCAACTCCTAGTGAAGGCCAAAGAGCTCTGATAACCTTGGGCTGGCAGGTGCAGAATCATCTGTCAGCCATTGTTCAGTGACCTGCACAAAAGCCAGTGCTCCAGACAGGCCCTTCTCTACCCCTCTGCTGCTGTCTTGACTGTAGCCGAGCTGCCTTCTCTGCTGCATTACCTTCTGAACACCCCTGCTGGAGCCCCGTGCAAACTCCATAGCCTGCTCTTCCCTGCTTTGAGGTATTGTTCACCACAGCCTAATTACTGGGCTTCATTCTGCCTTGGGTGTTCTGTCCTTTCGGCTGCTTTCCAGATTTCTCCTGAGGGTCAGGAAAGGCAGAGGCCAATATTAACACTCGGCTGCCTTGTTACTAGGAGGCCTGGTAGTCATAGAAACTGCAGCTAAGGGGAGATTTGAAATGTAGATATTTAAAACAGCCACTAATCCCAGCCAGTTTTGCTTTGTGTCTGAGAGGACCAGGCCTCAGATGGGACTAAATAAAGCATGCCTGCTTCCCCAGCCTGCTCCATGGAACCAGTGCCTGGCTATAGGCCCTGAGGGTCCAGCATGCCTGTCGCTGCAGCTCAGCTCCCCCGAGTCATCACCTGCCACCGAGCAGGTTTCCTGTGTTCTGCAAACTAGATGGTCCAGAGAGCACCAGGCTGAGCAAGCCTGCTCTGACAGTGGCTTGAGAACCCCAAGATGGGACTGATGACGTCCTAACTCACCTCCCAGGGTGGAGTGGGCTAAGAGGAGACATCTGCACCCTAGAAGGAAGACATGCCATCACCTTTTTCCTTTTTAAAAACGCTTTTATTAGTACATATTAATTATAATATTTCATTGTGGCTTTGCATGCATGCATATGATGTATTTTGAGTGTATTGCCCTCTCGTGCCCATCACCTCCGCCTTTCCCAGCTGCTCACCCTTGTGTTTGCATGGAGCTTTTCTTCCTCCTCCTCCTCCAACCTCCACACAGGCCTTGGTACACATGCGCTTCATCCCCAAAATAGGGAAACTTTCCAAAACCTAAGTTGGGGGCTCAAGAGATGGCTTAAGCAACTAAGAGCACTTGCTGCTCTTCCAGAGGACCTGGGTCACTTCCCAGCACCTGCATTACATGTGGGTCACAGCTGCCTGTGCCTCCAATTCCAAGGGGATCCATCCCATGTCTGACTTCCAAGGGCACCAGGCATGCACATGGCACACAGACATGCAGGCAAAATACCCACACATAAAATAAATGAGAAAACATTTAAGTTTTAATAGGCCAGCTTCTAAGCTGTGTATTTGTTTCTTTATGGAAGAGAAGGCTTGGTTTCTTGTTTGTTTTATACTTACTCTTTTAAAAGATTTAAAAAATTTTTATTTTATGTGAATGGGTGTTTTGCCTACGTGTATGTCTATATGCTATGTGTATGCCTGGTACCCATGGAGGCCAGACAAGGGTGTCAGATCCCCTGGAAATGCAGTTCAAGGTGGCAAGAATATTGATCACTGTTAACCACTGAGCCAGCTCCCTAGGCCCTTCGGTAGAGGCAATGGCCCACATATGAGTTGCTTTTAGCCAAGAGAAGCAGTTGTTGGTCCTGGCTTATATTTGGCGGAACAGCAGTGGCAGAACCAGGTTATGTTAAGCCCTCTTGAGTTCCTGGTCAGATTCTCTAATGTTCTGAGTTCCTTGGACCCAGCTACTTCTAACAGGTGTTTCCCTGGTGTCCAGCACAGACTAAGCCCTTGCTACTGGTCCCTGGAGATAACATGGCTGCTCCAGAGTGTGGGTTGACAAGCCTAGTCACAAGACCTCTAGTAAGAATAGTTTGGCCTCAGCCCCTCTAGCCAACTCTTGCTCTTTCTGTGCGGTCCTCCTTCCCTGAGTAATGCTGGCGAGGCAGCCCACCACTGCTCCATGGTGACAGATGTGTAACAAACTGTCCCATCCCCATTTTGGGAAGGTCACCTAGGTTAGAAATCAGTGCCAATATTTTTCCTGGATCATCTAGTGCTTTCTTTGTACATTCTTGCTGAGTGTGCCCCACTTTTCTGTGTTTTACAGTGTTCCTCAGACAGGCAGGTCTGTTCAGAACTCCTCCAGTTCCCTGACTGATGGGCATCCATCTGCCAGTCATCCCCGTCAGGAAAGTACTGCCTGGGTCCAGCCCCTCTGCTTGAGGCTCCCTTGTATGCCTACCCACAATGCAATTCAGACCTAGGGTGACTGTCAGAGAAGTCAGGGCTCTTCTCACTTGTTCTTCCTGTGTGACAACCACCACATTAAAACGGGGGGGGGGGGGGGGGGGGGGGGGTAAATGCTAGATAGGAAAAAAAAAAACAACAAGGATGTGAAGTCAGAAAAGTACCTGGGAGTTCTGGGCAGGCCTTTTTTTTTTTTCTGAGACATGGTTTCTCTGTGTAGCCCTAGCTGTCCTGGAACTAGCTCTGTAGACCAGGCTGGCCTTGAACTCACAGAGACCCACCTGCCTCTGCCTCCCAAGTGCTGGGATTAAAGGCTGGCTAAATTCCAGGAGTCTTGATGCCTTAACACAGATGTACAAACAGGGAAAACACCAGTGCACATGAAACTGAAACAACAACAAAAACAACAAAGCAGGGCTGGTTTTTTGTTTGTTTGTTTTGTTTTGTTTTTCCGAGACTGGGTTTCTCTGTGGCTTTGGAGCCTGTCCTGGAACTAGCTCTGTAGACCAGGCTGGTCTCGAACTCACAGAGATCCACCTGCCTCTGCCTCCCGAGTGCTGGGATTAAAGGTGTGCACCACCATGGAGTAAAGGCGGTTTCCCTTCTGTTGGCAGGTGAAGGTGGGAGATACACTGGATCTCCTCATTGGAGAGAACAAAGAGACGGGGACACAAGTGGTGATGCGGATTCTCCTGAAAGCCGTCTATGATGAGAAGACGGAAAGTGACAAGTACCGAGTGCTGTTGCGACGGTGGAAGAACTTAAAGCTGCCAAAGACTAAATGACCGTGCCGTCTCCCCACGGCTGCTTCCTGCTGTCAGAGGGGCCGCCGTGCAAAGAGGGCGTTTTTACTGAAATAAAGTTCTGTCGTTTGTGGGATCACTGGAGCATTTTGTGGAAGCTGGGATCTGGGTTTCCTTCTCCTGCGCTCCTGTAGGCCCGGCACTCTGAGAGCTCCCTTGTCCTGCAGAGACCAGTGCAGGAGCCCAGGCCAGAGAGGACGTCATGACCCGCCTACATTTTCCACACTGACTACCTCAGGAGTCATTGTCAAATAAACTGGCCTTGTCTCTTTGTGGGTTTCATTTATGGAATTTGTTTTATTTTGTTAGACAGGGTCTCCCTGTATAGCCGAGTAGCCTCAAAATCAGGATCACTGCCTCTGCCTCCCAAGTACTAGGATACAGAGGCTGGCCTTGAATTCCTGATCTTCCAGCCTCTAACTCCCAAGAGCAAGAACTATAGAATAAAGGCTGGAGAGATGGCTCAGCAGTTAAGAGCACTGACTGTTCTTCCAGAGGTCCTGAGTTCAATTCCCAGCAACCACATGGTGGCTCACAACCATCTGTAATGAGATCTGGTGCCCTCTTCTGGGGTGCAGGTATGCATACAGGCAGAACACTGTATACATAATAAATAAATAAATAAATAAATAAATAAATAAATAAATAAATAAATAAATAGAACTATAGAATAGACGTGTAGCACCCGCCCCTGCTTCTTGGTGTTTATTTAAATATTTGCTGCCTAGGGACTGTTTCCCATATTCAGGATTTTTGTGGCTAAAATTAACGGAGTCAAGATTGCCTTTCAGATTATGATTGGACAGAATGGAGAGAACCTTTTACCACTGTTAAACTAGTTTCAGTTGTCTTCGGTTTGTCTTTTACAGTCCAGAGGAGTGAAGCTGCCCCTCCAATTCCAACTGGTCTACTTAGAGTCCATTAGGAGTGGTTTATTTAGGGCTCATAGGTAAACCAATGTAGCCAGACACTGGCTTCATAATGACCCTCAAAGTAAAATGGCTTCAACATTTTAATGTTCAGGCTTAAGAGCTCTGCTCTTCCAGATGACTCAGGTTCAGTTCCCAGCACCCACATGACAGCTCACAGTCGTCTGCAACTCCAGGGGATTCGATGTCCTCTTCTAGCCACTGTAGGTACCAAGCATATGCGTGGTTCACAGGGTTTCCTTTTACTTTAAAAATTTTAACCTTATATACTTGTACGTATATGTACACACACATACAAGACAGTTGCTATGATCTATCAAGCCCAAAATATTTGTTATCTGACCCTTAGAGCAATAGACTAGTTGTTCTAACCCTCCCAAGAGCGTTACACAAAGGACTAAAACTAAATGAAGAGTAGAACCGGCTGGGCAGTAGTGGCACACACCTTTCATCCCAGCACTCCGAAGGCAGAGGCAGGTGGATCTATCTCATGAGTGTGAGGCCAGGCCTGGCCTAGAAGAGCTAGTTCAGGACATCTAGGGCTGTTACACAGAGAAAACCTGTCTTGAAAAACCAAAAAAAAAAAAAGCAGAACTGAGCACACGGAGCACACGAGCACACGACATGACATCCATGGCGTGTACACTCAGGGGAGCCAGGTCTAAGGAAGGAGCCGTTCAAAGACTCCGCCCTGTCCTCGTTTGTCCACAACTGTCTGAGATCGCAGAAGTCTAAGAGCGAAGGGAGCTTCCAGAGACTCCAAAGCACTTAAGTTAGGGCCCATGAGTCAAGTTGCTCATCTTGTTTTGGAGAACTCAAGAAAATTCGTCTTTATTTGAAAATTTAAACTCTTAGCTGGGCGGTGGTGGCGCACGCCTTTAATTCCAGCACTCGGGAGGCAGAGGCAGGTGGATCTCTCTGAGTTCGAGGCCAGTCTGGTCTACAAGAGCTAGTTCCAGGACAGGGTCCAAAACTACAGAGGAAAAACCAACTAAACAAAACAAACAGAACAGGCTCCAAAACTATAATAGAGTCTCAAAAATAAACAACAAGAATAAAACCCTCATTTTAGGGGCTGGAGAGATGGCTCAGGGGGTTAAGAGCACTGGTTGCTCTTCCAGAGGTCCCAGGTTCAATTCCCAGCAACCATATGGCAACTCATAACTGTCTATAGCTTCTGTTCCAAAGGATCTAACACCCTCACACAGACATACATGTAGGCAAAATACCAATGTACTAAAAAAAACTATAAATAAATCATAAAAAGAAAGAAAATTTAAACTCCTAAGGACCAGTGAGATGACTTGATGGGTAAAGCCACTTGCCTGGTGACCTGAATTCATTCCCTCACACCCACATGGTGGAAGGAGAGAACCAATCCTCTGGCCTCAACACACATGCTAAGGTGCACCCGGAATTAGTTCATTTTTAAACAGTTTTAAAGCTGGGTGTAGTGTCGCACACATAATCCCAGCCCTAGGGAAGGCAGGGCAGGTGGATTTCTATGAGCTCAAGGTCAGCTCAAATTTTTGTTTTAAAATGTTTTAAAAATTTAAACTCTTTAGGAAAGAATAATAAATACTGTGTAAAAGTACAACATGGGCCGGGTGCTGATGGTGCACACCTTTAATCCCAGCACTTGGGAGGCAGAGGCAGGCGGATCTCTGTGAGTTCGAAACCAGCCTGGTCTACAAGAACTAGCTCCAGGACAGGCTCCAAAACTACAGAGAAACCCTGTCTCGAAAACAACAAAACCAAAAACAACAAAAAGTACAACATGGAATTTCTGTTTTCATCACTTGTTATTTTGGCTTTTCCGAGTTTATCAGTTAAAAATATAGTACTTCAATTTCCACGTAACAAAGTTATAATTAATTATATAGCCATATTCATCTCCTCCCATCCTCTCTCCCTTCCCTCTTCCTGAGCAGCTTCTCTTTGCAAAGCCAGTAGGAAACTCGAGAAGCCTTGAATGGTGAAAGCATGTAATTCAGCAGCAGGTTTCCTGAAAAGCGCGCACTCTGTTGGTAGGTGAGTTGTGACCAGAACTTTATCTCTGCATCTCCCAGTCCTTACTGGACGAACAAGGATCAGAACAGGAGAAAGCAGAGCAGGAAAAGCCTTTTAAGGCTTCAGTATGTAACTGGGCCAGCCTTCGGTCTTGGCTGTCTACCTGCTGGATTCCAGGTGGACACAGCCACCGCTGGCTTAGAGGCAGCCATTCAAAAGGACATTAGTAATTTATACCTGGCTTAGCCACTTAGCAGATTGGACCCATCCCCAGCTACAGTTTTTAAAAATCAAACTATCGGCCAGGTGTAGTTACACACGCCTTTAACCCCAGCACTCAGGAGGCAGAGGCAGATGAATTTTTGTGAATTCAAGGCCAGCCTGGTCTATATAGTTCCAGAGCAGCCAAAGCTACATGAGATTCTGTCTCAGGTGGAAAGAAAGAAAGAAAGAAAGAAAGAAAGAAAGAAAGAAAGAAAGAAAGAAAGAAAGAAAGAAAGAAAGAAAGAAAGAAAGAAAGAAAGAGAAAGAAAGAAAGAAAGAAAGAAAGAAAGAAAGAAAGAAAGAAAGAAAGAAAGAAAGAAAGAAAGAAAGAAAGAAAGAAAGAAAGAGAAAGAAAGAAAGAAAGAACAAAATAATCAGGGGCTGGCGAGATGGCTCAGTGGTTAAGAGTACTGACTGCTCGGACCCGGGTTCAAGTCTCAGCACCCACATGGGCAGCTCACAACTGTCTGAAGATCCAGTTGAAGGGGATCTGACACCTTCACACCAATGCACATAAAAAATAAAGTTAAATAAACCATAAAAAATATTTAAAAAAAAAACCCAAAATAATCAAACTAAGGGCTCACTGGCCAAAAGCCTGTACTACTCTTGGGGAAGACCAGAGTTTAGTTCCTGGCACCCATATCAGGTGGCTCAAAATCCCCTGTAACACCAGTTCCAGAGGATACAATGTTTCTGTGGGTACCCAGACTCCCCATACACACAGACACATAATTAAAAATAAAGTTAACTCTTACAGTGTTCTAAAAATCAAACTGACATCTGATTACAAATTACGTGAGCCTGGCCATGCAACAGGAGACTGATCTCTCCGGGGTCGCCTCCAGCGTGAGGGCCTAGAACATATTTATGAAAACTAGCAGAAACGTAAGAGCAATCCATAATGATTCATGGCGCTCTGACAACTCACTCATTACTGAAGCTGAACGACAGCTGCCTTTTAATGTGGTCCTGGCAAGACATCCCCAGTCAAAATGTGACCAACATAATGAGTCGATCAAAGACAGCCCCTGGAGACAGTCCAAGGCAGGGGTTCTCAACGTGGGGCAACTTGCCCACTTTCCCTGGGGCATTTGGCAATAATTACGTTTTTAGTCATCACGATGGATAGGATACTAGGGACACCAAGAAATGAGAGCCCGAAGATGATGCTGAACATCCCATAATGTCCAAACAGTGTCCAACAGAGCAGCATGTTAGCAGTGCTGAGGTTGGAAAATCCTGTTCTAATAGGATGATAATGGGGGGGGGGGGCTAAACAGTTAAAATTAATACATCCTGCTCTTCCAGGGCAGTGCTTGCAGGATACAGTTGCTGTGTTCAAGGCATGCATGGTTTAAGGTTAGGACTGTTAGGTTCATCTGGCCTTTTTACCAAAATGACAACCCCACTTAGGGACTCTAGGGACTAAGTTGTTAACTGACATCCCTGTCATCTATGCTCTACACAGACAGGGAGGAGACTAGATCTCACTATGGCGTCCTGAGCTTATTTCAAATGACCAGAGCTTGCTATGAAGAACAAAGCTGCCTCGAACTCACAGAGACCCACCTGCCTCGGCCTCTCAATGCTGGGATTACAGGCATGCAGCACCATCTTGGAAATCTGTTTTTTCAAGAAACTAAAAACAGCTGGGTGATGGTGGTTCATGCCTTTAATCCCAGCACTCAGGAGGCAGAGGCAGGTGGATCTCTGTAAGTTCGAGGCCAGCCTGGTTTACACAGCAAGTTCTAGGACAGCCAAGGCAATTACGCGGAGAAACACTGTCTCAAAAAAAAAAAAAAAAATTCAGTTCGGTGGATGTTCATGAACCTACCTCAAGGGAAAAGGAGGATCTCTGTCTTACCTTGGCTCTGTGAAGGTGGGCTTTACTGAGAATTCCCAGCCCACACCTGCAGGAGGGTCTCCAGGGAGCAGTGACAGGAACCTGATGTTGGCAGCAGAGCAGGGCTCGAGCACCTCCGGGACTGCTCTGGAGCCGCAAGACTGGCTTGCTAGCACAGTATCAGCCGGGGCAGACACTACAGACCAGGGTTTGTTATGTCTCACTCCCCCACCCCCAGCCCCCCACTGCCCAAGCAGCAGCTGTCAAACAGTACCCAATGCCCATGAGAGGTTTTCCGTAGGTAGCACCTTGGCGCCGCTGGCCTCTCCCCGTTCTTCCGAGGCCTTCCCTCTTTTAGCGCATTTTCCCCCTCTTCCTCTCCCACCTGGGCAAACATCTCACTTGTGTTTAGTGGGCATCATTTTGCTTGTGTGCATCTTTGCGAAACGATTTCCCTGTTCTGCTTTCCGAAGTTTCACGAAGGCTTTATTGTATTTCTCATTTCATATTTTCCTTCCTGCACGTGTCCTACCTCACGGCACGGCCCACCTACCCCAATATTTCACACCGCTGCCCCGAAGGGAGAGCATCCACTTAGCGCCGGCTTACCTTCAGAGGGACACTGTCCCAGACTGCACCCACTTCCCTGCTTTAGCACATCGCTGGCTTTCCTGACTAGAACGGCTGCTTGGCTGCCTTCTTGGGAGCACCACACCAAGGTGTCTGTGCACACCTCGCTCAGCCCTTGGCAGTAGCCAGCCTTCTCGCTTCTTCTTCAGTATCTCTCCAGCTCCCGCCCACTTTCTAACTCACCATCCTCTGCCTCAGCCTCCCAGGTGCTCGGATAACAGGCACCACCAACACGCCGAGACTTTAAATCTGCCCAAAAGAGACAAGCGAGGCTCAAAGACGTCATCCAGGGCAAACAGTATTTCTCTCAATGAACACTTGTTCTTTAGGGGTTCCCACAGGTAATGCTTGTTTCTGCTATCTAAGCCACTATTAAACAATGTAGATTCTATCATTTTGGCTGGGTGTGATAGTGCACACCTTTAATCCCATTTATTGTGAAGCTGAGGCAGGGGCATCTCTGTGAGTCAGAGGCCAGCTTGGCCTTCATAGCAAGTTCCAGTCTAGTCAGAACCAAGATGCAAGTCCTTGAAAAAAAAATGCTGCTGGGTGGTAGTGGTGCACACCTTTAGTCCCAGCACTCAGGCGACAGAGGAAGGCAGATCTCTGAGTTCGAGGCTACCAAGGATACACAGAAAAACCCGCTCTTGAAAAAAAACCAAAAGCCAACTAAACAAAAAAAGGCTTTGGAACCTCACTCTTGATTCTGAAGCAGAGAATGGAAAGGCTACAATGTTGACGTCAACTTGGAGTCATGCAATTGTATCAACTCTTGAAGAGAAGTGCTGGTGGCCACAGGCCTTATGCATACTAAAGTGTGTCTCCCCCACACACTTAGCAGTTCAGCACCAAGGTTTCAGCTTGTCAAAGCCAAGGATGGCAACTCCTCACGCCTTGCAGCAGAAATAGCACAAGCGGAATCCCTGTCAGCTCTTAACAGCATGCTTACCAACATGGCTTCTGTCTGTGAGAAACAGAGGTCCAGCAGTGGTGCCTCAGGCCAGGGGCCAGCGTCAGGACACCTGCAGTGGCCTGGCTGTCTTCTGTAGAGAGAGCAAGGCCCAGTCTGCTCATACCCACGCACGTCTTACAAATCAGCTTCAGGGCAGGCCTGTTAAGTGCTGTGCTGTTAACTACCAGGACCTTCCAGCCAGGCTTGAATGGGCGGCTTAACTAGTCACACATGGGGGCGGGGCTAGCTAGTTAGGGAGCAGGCGCAGTAGCTGGCTGGCCCTCCCAAGACATTTACTGAATGGATGAACCTTCTCTAGAGGCAGCGAGGCCTTACTGCATTTCTTTCTCTTTTGAGGACGTGAACTTTCGGCAGCACTTTGCTTCAAAGGCCACACATCAAGCTCCTCGTGAGTTCTGTCTGCTTCTTCCGACTTCTGCTTCCTTCAGCCCTTCCCTGACTATAAAACCCACTTCCTCTGCTCGATTCCTCGCAACAGTCATCCTATTTTATGGAATAAAATTTCCAAATCTAGAAATCAAAATTAAACCAATTAAGATTTTTCAACTGAGCCAGGCATGGTGTCGCAAGCCTGTAATCCCGGCACTCTGAATGTGTAGAGAGGTCAGGTCAGTCAATCGATACCTGAGAGCCCGAGCCCATCTCAATAGAAGCAGTAGGATATGGAACTCAGGCACTCTTTGGAACAGTAGGATATGGAACTCTTTTGAAGCAGTAGGATATGGAACTCTTTGAGTTGGGTCTAGTACATTACAGGCCAGGTGATCCCTGCCTCAAAAACAAAAAACTAAAACCCAAAAAGCCAAAGTCATGTAACTGTGAAGTACATGGAATTTTGGAACCCTGCCTCTTCCCACCTCCCAAGATAAGCTTTCTACAGAAACTGGTCAGACGGAAACCCTGTGAGCTGCACCTAAACGGCCAAGCACTGAGCCCCCCAAACACTCATGTTCTCCCCAGGGACTGGAGGGAAGGTGCACACACAGATCCAGACACACTCAAAGTGGCGAGGGACCCACAGAAATGAAGTGTTACGAGACCACAGTCTTTCTATTTTTATATTTTATATAATTAATAAAACAGTGCTTGTATAAAAATTCACACAAAGTTGCTAGAGATCATACAATTTCCAAAAATGTCCTGGGTTTGTGTTACATTCAGTTTTCTAAGGGTGCACTCAGATCAATGGTAATAGGCAGACGTGATGTGGTGTCTCATTCTCTTTGGTAAAACTGTCCGCATTATTGACTCCTCACAGTAGAAACCTGACATCCACTCTGTGCAGGGTCTGCTCATGCTAGGATGTCAGACATTAAGGCTGGATCTACAAGAGGCAAGGACTTCCCACAGCAGTACCAGGCCCTGGGCCCTGACCCCCACTTCAGAATGACCCAGTGACTTCCAACCAGGAGTCTCCAGGAACCTCCCAGTCAGGCAAGAAGCAATCTCTGGGGGGAATGGTAGAAACAGGATATCTCTCCAAGAACCCAAGAGGCCGGCCACACTGTGGTGTGATCAGGCCAAATCCAGTCACCACGAAGTAGATCCCATTGGTCGGTTGATGATTGCTGCTGATATAAACCCCTCACCCCCTAACTTGAAAGGAAGGCTTGGGGCTCAACACTGAAGGGGAAGGGCACTGAGCGCTAATGACACTAGACACTTTATTCCCTGACAAACATTTGTCATCATACAGACACGGCCACATGAACTAAGAGCAGGATTCGAACACTATACATTCATGACTATCTTCATACATTCTTTAAACAGCTTCCTAACAAAGAAAAGCAAGACGTCTACCACCCACCGACACACTACCTTACTCAACGCCAGAATGTCTGTGCTAATCTTTAGTCCTCTGTATACAAGGCAGAAAGAATCCAAAACACAAACGAAGAGTTAGATGGGGAAGATGGGAAACAAGGAAAGCAGTTGCCAACAGATTTCATGAAACCCATTAAATTCTGAAAAAATAAGTATTTAATATTTATATTGCTTCATGACAAAAAAAAAATGCCCACTGGATCCACCTGTATGGATGGGTACGTGAGGAGACCATATATGCCATACCTATAAAAATGCTCCCAGAGTGTCTGCCTCTTTTCACTGAAAGGGACAATGAGATTTGGGGGGGGGGGGGACGGGTTGTGAAGCCCTACATAGTTAAAGTGTTAAGGAAACCAAAATACAGTTTCCCAGAGTCAACACGCTCTGGGTTACACAAAGTCACGCTGAATTGCTAGAACTTGCCGTTTCTCTGCTGCGAGGAAACAGGACTTCTAAAAACTTGCTAACAGATTGTGCTTCTGACGTCGCAGGGCCACACCCCACTCTAGAGCTCAGGACAACTTTCACATGGCTTGGAATCCTCTCGGTCACACCCTCAAGACCAGAACAAATCCCGCGGAATTCTCTCAAGCTAGCGGAAGCATGAGAGAACACCACAGCCATCTTTGGGGTAGGTGTGTGCATGCACGCATGCATGTGTGTGTGTGAGACTAAGGCATTAGAGAGAGGCCCGAGTGAGGGGAAAAGGGAGTCTTCTGGCTGCTCCCATACCTTCTTTCTGGGCACAAAGAAGGTTGATTTGTTTGTGTTCTAGTAAGGAGAAATGCTTGCAGGTGTGGTCATGTGACAGAGAGCCATGAGCTCCCTGTGCACTTCTCAACAACAATAATTTAGGTTTACAGTTACAGCATAAATAATCTGAAAATGACAGTGAATAGAAGCTTTATAGTATTCAAAATTATGTTTTTTTTTAAATGCCCATTGGGTACATGCAAAATTATATCATATTGTCTACTAGAACTAAAGTTCTTATCTGTATGAGAAAATTCATAGATTATTCCTAATATTTCTGCATATTAAGGTAGCAAAATAGTAAGTCATTAAGTTATCACATTTGTAATGTCCCACAAGGGTCTTATGACTACCCAGGCAACTGAATTAATTCTCGAGGTCAATGGTAAGATGGATTCAGTTTGGGGAGCACCGTCTCCTGCCCTTCTTAGGCATCTGGCCCCAGTGTAGAAGGGTGGAAGACACGTGCACCTCCTCGTTAGGGGTGGGCCAGGAGAGGACGGCAGAACTTCCTAGAAGGTTTGAGGGGAAAGGTCTGAGTGGGGCTGGGAAGGGGCATGGGTGCTCCACTTAAGATGGTTTGGGTCCCTCCAACACCTGCAAGAGCCTAGGCTCATAGAGGTCCAAGGCCATGCTGCTCACGGGAGGAGCTAACACTGAGGTCTGGGGATAGGGACTCTGTACAAATACATGGAAAGTAAACAGTTCTTGGTGAACCCAAAAGAAGCCCACCCATAAATCACACAAAAATGTCCCTAACACATTGTGTTCCTTCCAATGTGTCTGTCCCTCTAATCCAGCACCTGTGTGCGGAGAGGGAATGGGGCTGTGGAAGGACACAGCTCACGTGAAGACGTGAACTATGCCTCCAGTCTATCTACATTCACATCATCTTCCAGTGTTCTGTCTACACAGTGAGCACCACACGGCAGTGGCAGACAGGCCGGGCCACAGGTAACCTTTCTGGGGGCCACAGCAGCAGGGAAACTCACATACAGGATCAAGGGGCTACCCACTACTTATATTCCATCCCATCTGCTGAATCCGAGGGGCCTCGGGACTCTCTGAAACCAGATGTCAAACACAGGATTAGTAAAACCAGTCACCGTGCCACCTGAAGCTAGTTACACATAATGCCAGAATACGGCATTTCTAAAACAAAAACAAACAAAAAAAAACCATAAGTCTAAAATCATCTTTAAAAATCCCAGCAATTTAAGTAATCGTACAGTATCTCATCTCAAATATTTTTTTAAGATTTCTTTTCCTAAGTAAAATGGCTCCCAAAGAGCCATGATTTTCTTTAAAAGGGTTTCATTTTAATTCAAAAAAAAAGGGGGGGGATGTAAAACGGGGAGAGAAACAAGCTTGCTGAATTTGTATTTTGGTGTTTTTGAGACAGGGTCTCATTATGTAGCCCTGGGCTGGTCTGGAATTCATTAGTAGACTGGCCTTGAACTCACAATGGCCTCTGCCTAGGTGTGGGTCACCACAGCTAGCCTAAATTTGTATTTTGGATTGTGAGGGTTAGGGAGGGTGCCCCAGCCCTGAAAAGGGACTCTACCTTATCGATTCTCTCATTTCACAGCTTGGCCACTCCCCAACTCCAGCTGCGCCAGCAGGGAACACGGAACAAAGTCATGAATACAAGAGACCAAATTCAAGGCTTCTTTCTTGTGGCTGGGTAGGCGGTGTGTGCAAATGTAGGAAACCACTCCCCACTGACATAAGGTGCCTGTCTGTGGATACCGTCGTACACGAGCTCTGGAGCAACGCTCAGTCCCAAGGGCACCCATTGCTCAGTCCGTGGTGACCCAAGTCCCTGGGCAGCCCCAGACTTGTCACTTCTCCACTTTCTTGGCTTTCTTGAGGATGTCGCACTTTTTCCTGTTGGGGCGGCGACACCGCTCATCAATGCTGGGTATACATTCATAATGCCACACCTCCTCCATCTTCTCCACCGGGTAGACAGCTTCCACGTAATGGCGGATGAGTCTCAGGCGCGTGGGGTCCAGCTGCTTCTTATTGCAAGCCCCGGAGTGGTTGTACTGCAGTCGAAGGTTCTCAGCTGTGAAGAGTTCAGGGAAGAGCCTGACCAGGAGTCGGGCAGCGAAGTTGCCCACCGACAGGCTCTGCTGCACGATCTCACGAACCTCCTTGTCCGACAGCAGGTAGGGAGAAGGCACCGGAAAGTCGGGCGAGGGGACCACCAACTCGTCCAAGGGGATTTTGCAAAAGTCTTTGCTGCTCCTTTCAGGAGGCAGCGGGGGCCCCTCAAACTCCTCTCGGAACCTCTCGGGGTTGATTGCATAACTTGCTAGGTCCCGGCACTCAGGGCCAGGTACATGGACCTTGCGCTGCTGCTGGTAAGAGCGCCTCTGCTCCGTGTCCCTGCGTCGACAGCGCTCATCCAGCTTGCCCACAAACTCCAGAGTCCACACGCGGTCGTTCTTGGCCCGAGGGTAGAGCAGCTGCACGTAGTGGCGGATCAGCCTGATGCGGGCTGGGTCCAGCTGCTTCTTGCCCAGGGAGCCGCTGCAGTTGTACTGCTTGCGCAGGTTCTCGTGGGTGAAGAGCTCCGGGAACAGGTGCACTAGCAGGCGGGAGGCAAAGTTGCCAATGGACAGGCTGCTCTCATAGATGCTACGCAGCTGCTCCTTACTCAGTAGGCAATCTGAGCCTGGCATCTCGAAGTCTGGCTGTGGGATCTCCAACTTGTCAAAATCAATGGGCACCAGCCAGATCTTCTTGGAGCGCCGGCCAGGCCGCTCGCCCTCGAAGTTGTCCTCCACCTTGACCACTGAGATGTCATCTGGCAGGCTGGAGGAGTCATAGCAGTCGTCCCGTGGGTTCTCCCCCTCGCTGCCCCCCTCCAGCCCCAGGCCCTCCAGCTCATCATTGATGCGCTGGGCACACTGCTGCAGCCAGGCCTCCTCCTCCTGCATGTCCGGGAAGTAGATTTCCGTGTAGTTGCGGATGATCTGCAGCCTCTGAGGATCCAGCTCTTGCTTGCCACCGTCGCCATAGCAGCTGTACTGTTCACCCAGCTTCCGATGGTCAAACAGCTCCGGGAAGAGCCGGTGCAGGAGGAACACGGCAAACTCACCTGGGGAGGAGGCTTCATCTAGGAACTCGGTGAGGTCCTGTGTGTCCACCACATGGTCCGAGGCGATGGTGCTGCTGCGGTCCAGAGACAGAGCTTCTTCTTGGTCCTTGTTGTCTAGAAAGTGGCCGGCGTCCACTTGGTCTGCTTCAAAGAAGTTGGTGACCTGGCTGCCTGGCTGGCTGTCCTCCATTTCTCGCTGGGCCCAGAAGCGGCTGAAGAAGTCATTCAGCTGTGGCAAGCACTCAGCCTGCCACACAGCTGTGTCCTTCACAGAGGGGTAGTAGACCTCCACGTAGTTGCGGATGAGCTGGAGGTGCAGTGACTCGAGCTTCCGCTTGGCGGCAAAGCCACAGGCACTGCAGCCGCGGGAGAAATCCACCTCTCCAAAGAGCTCCGGGAAGAGCTGCACCAGCAGGCGACACGCTAGGTCACCACAGGACAGGCTCTGCTCCGCTATCTGCTTCAGCTCAGCACTAGTGAGCTGGTATTCAGGGGGAGGCTGGAACTTAGCCACCAGCTCAGAAGGGCTCACCTGCTTCTTGATGCGGCTCACCTCGAGGGAGAGCAGGTCTACCTTGCTGTGAAGCTGGGACATGTTAGATGTGAGTGTGTTGAGCATGTAGAACATCTTTTGAATCAGGAAGTAGATATTGGGGTCCCCATCAGTGGCCACCCCAGCACCACATTCCCGTTTCTGAGATTCATTCAGCAGGCGCAGAGGAGAGGGGCTGGTACTGGAGTTCGCCTTCTCAAAGAGCTCATAGGGGCTGAGCAGGTCTCCGGAGGGAGGGTTCTTCTTCTCCGTGATCTTGTGGGAGATGCCATACAGAGGCCTCTTGTAGGAAGGAGTTGTGGCCTCACTGGAAGGCTCGTCTTCCGCAGGCCAAACACAGCTCCCACTCCTGCCCCTGCTTGCTGGCTCTCCATTTCCCTGGCAGGGCGAGCTGTTCTCACGATTGCGCATGCCTGCCAGGAGTGCCTAAGAAACAGAAACCATTTTGCAGAGTTAGGTGTATGTTCTGATACAAAGCATTAGAGACTGGGCTGGGACAGCACAAAGGACCCAAGGTCAATGCTTCTTGTCCAAACCAATCTGTCCATCCAGGAATACACCAAAGATACAGTAGCATCTGAGGGCCAACCTGTTCCATCTCCCTACTCCTTGCTAGACCCGGGAAGGCTCCTACTGTTGTAGAATACTTCTGCTCATCCGGCTAACAGAGGCCAAGCTGGTAAGACTGGGTAAAAACTTCTAGGATCGAAGAGCAGTGGTGGTGCACGCCTTTTATCCCAGCACTCAGGAGGCGGAGGCAGAGGCAGAGAGAGGCAGGTCTCTCTGAGTTCAAGGCCAGCCTGGTCTACAAGAGCTAGTTCCAGGTCAGGTTCCAAAGCTACAGAAAAACCCTCTCGAAAAACAAACAAAAGGGGGGGGGGTAAGGTTTACCCAGGCAGCAAGCAGACCCGGCAATACTAACTGAGCCTCCTGTGCTTTCCACATACTGATTAGTGAAGTTCTTCCTGGACCCCCTTTAAAGACAAAACAAAGCCCGACTCACACACCTGGACATAAAGAGATTCTGGTGCTGCCAGCACTGAAGCCAGGGATGCTTGCACATGCTAAGTGGTTGCTCTACTGTGAGCAACACTGCACCCTCCACCTGGGATCCTTTCTTTCCATATTTTTTGGGGTGGTGTTTTTTTGTTTTGGTTTTAAAGATGGGGTCTCCCTCTCGTCCTCTGCTAGAATCATGGAGACAAAGAGATCTTTGATGATATTCTGATTCCATGAAGGTGGCTCTGTAGAAACTAACACAGGGTCAGTGGCTTCTGCCTGTTCTAGCTGTTCTAAAACATGTCTCACTTCTCGAGAGCAGAGGGCTCTCTTGCTTGGAGGAAGGGAGAGATTGTGGGTGGTCCCACCCACTCTTCTGCCCCACTCCTTCCTGGTGACTCCTCTCCTATCTTGTCGCACTGAAAGTCACAGCCATTTCTGATCTATCCCACCACTGAGCAAAGCGGCTGGAATAGAGGAGAGTCCCCTAATAATCACACTGTCCCATCTCTGCCTAAGAAAAGGACCCCTGGGAGCTGGGGGTGGCAAAACAAAACCCACTGACTTTATGAAACCCTGAGGACAGAGGTGTAAGTGCACGGGCCTCCCTGTGTGACCGTCCATGCCTTAGCTTCTGTGTCTGCTGCAGGATCATTTTGGGAGCAATGGGATAATGCACAGCAAGCACAGGGTCAAGTGTTTACTGCAGCAGGGTCACACTAAACAAGACCATTCTCAGGCGCAGAAGGAATGGTGTGGCCTTTTGTTACGCTGTCAGAGCTTAGGGAACTGCTGCAGCTACATACAGTTCTAAGCTGCCTGGTGTAAGTGCTGAGGATTGAACCTGGGTCCTCTGGAAAAGCAGCATGTGCTCTTAACCACTGGGCCCCAGTCCCACCCCCGTTTTTTAAGACAAGATTTTGTTTCATATTATAGTAAGAACCAAACACAGGGCCTTTAATCCTTACGACCTGACTTCCCATAATGCTGAGACTACAGGTGGGGGGTGGGAGTGGGGGGCTACCACACCCAGTTTAGGTTACTTATTTTAAGGAAAAATTTTATTCACTAATCAAATTTGACACAGCTAGAAGCAGGGACAGCTCCTTTTTAAAAAATGAGAATATGCAAATGTAGCATGCCATTTTATTTAGAATCGCAAATTAGTTTCTTTTTAAAAAATAGATGAAGTCAGGCAGTGGTGGCACACGCCTTTAATCCCAGCACTCAGGAGGCAGAGGCAAGCAGATCTCTGTGAATTCAAGGCCAGCCTGGTCTACAAGCTCCAAAGCTACAGAGAAACCCTGTCTCGAAAATACAAAACCAAAACAACAACAACAACAAAAACCCCAAAATACAATAAAAAAAAAAATAGATGAGAGAAGAAAACACCCAACCGCCTGCATTCTGGAGAAATGGAGAACTGGCAACTTCTGAACCCTGGAGTGAGATGCTGCAGCCTACTGGTTCTGGAGGCCAGAGGCCTTCACTTGAGGCTGGAAAGTTTGGCAGCGCGGCAGGAAGCAGCCTGTTCCTTCCTATCTGTGTGTTCTCTTCCAAAGTGAGCTGGGCGACTCGGCCTGTGCGGTGCCTGTCTGTATTCCAATCTACTCAAGAGGCTAAAGTATGAAGATCACGTGAGCCCAGCGGATCTAGACTAACCCAGGCAACAAAGAAAGCAAAAGCTTTTGTATTTCACATTTATTGACCTAGACACACAAGTACAATTGTTGGCCATGAGAGATCTACTGGACTCTGCCTCCCAAGCGCTGGGATTAAATGTGTGCAAGCAGGACGTGAGTGAACACCTGACTGGAAACCCCCTCCAGGATTCTCAACCCAGCTGTTAACACAAACATTGCCATTCCCACCGAGCATGCTAGAAACTCTCAGATCAATGGAAACACTTTTTACTAAACTGCCTGATAAAAAAATGAAGAGTCCCAGTAGAGGGCAATGTGCTTCACTCAGAAACCCTGGATAACAATTCAACATAAAACGCAAGCACCAAAGGGAAGGTTCTTAGATATCTCTACAATGGTGTCCTGTCAACTCAGCGCTCAATTAATTCCACAAACACTGCCAAGGCAACGATGTGCTGGCTGCGTTTACTGCTGCTGATAAAATCTCTGCTCAGCTGTCTAGGAATATCAAGAAATCTTTAAATCTGTGCTACTTGGCACAGGGTGTCTGGCTGACAGTTCCCAGTCCTCCAAGGTGTATCTTCCAACCATATGGGACTCTGTGGCACAGCTCTGGCTCTGATGCTGGCATCTAGCCTAAATCATGATGGACGTTCCAGTCACGAGCACCTGCAGACTCACAGGGAAGACCTGAAGATCTCAGCTGGAGAATGGGACTGAGGCACCACCATGCAGGTGAGGGGCAGCAGACATCCTGGGGAAGATTCCAGGGGTATGGCCACTAGTGCTCTAAGGACTAGTAATCACCCTCAGACCCCAGAGTCCACACAAGTCACTGAATTCAGTTCAGTGAAAAATGAGTGGCTAAACAGAATCCCGGGAGTCAGCAACGGAAGACCAAGCAAGCAGCATGTCTATGGGAAGCAAGAGTGGAAAATCACTGTGAAATCAAGTGTGGGCCACGTGATGTGGCACCAGGGCGCTAGTACCACTATTCTGGAATAATGGCAGTGACGGCGATGCTTACCCTGGGCACACTAGGAAAGAGTCACACACAGCCTCTCCCTTATGGCCTTCCTGGTGCTGCCACAGAACCTGGAAGCAGTCTGCACCCCACACACAGCCCTCCAGCCCTTACTCCATCAGCTCCCAGTTAAGTGCACAGTTTCTGACAGAGCAGTCTTGGTAGCACCAAGCTCTCAGCCTGTTTTTAAATGGGGAACCCGTCATCGGTTCCTCTGAGACACCTTAGGAACCCCAGCTTTTTCAACAGTTACACACCTAGAAGACACCAAGTGTAGCATAAATGAGTAAGATGGCATTTCTGCTATCTGATTAAAACCAACCACAGTAGATTTCTTATGTCTTGGTTTTTTGAGACACGGTTTCGGTTTCTCCGCGTAGCCCTGGCTGTCGTGGAACTCACTCTGTAGATAGATCAGGCTGACCTCGAACTCACAGAGATCCACCTGCCTCTGTTCTGAGTGCTAGGATTAAAGGTGTGCACCACCACTGCTCAGCAACAGTGGAACAGTCACACGACAAAAGCCCCAGGAGAAGAGTTAACCGGTACAGCTCTTGACCATCACCTCCAGTTCTGTGAACAAAGGTGATCCCCAGATGACAAGGTGGCTCAGCAGGACTGCCACTAAGCCTGACCACTCAAGTTCAGTCCCTGGGACCCACATGGTGGAAGGAAAGGACAAATTCCTATAAACTGTCCTTTGACCCACACACACCACGGCACAGAGAGAGAGAGAGAAAAAGAAAAAGAAACAGAGAAACAGAGACAGAGAGACTAAATAAATAAACAATAAAACTGCAGATAGAAATTCTAGCCACATGTGCCAAGCCTGCTTCAGGGAGAAGCAGAGTGAGTCTTCCTGGTCCTTGTCAGACTTTTCTAAGAAAGCTGTTTTTCTTCTAAGTTCCATACTAACTGTCAGTCATAAAACAAGGAATGGGGGGGGGGGCTAGAGACATGGCTTGGGTGATTAACACGGCTGCTCTTCCAGGGTACCTGGATTCAATTCCCAGCACCCACATGGAAGCTTGCAACAGTTCATAACTCCATTTCCAGGGGATCCGACACCCTCTTCTGACCTCCATAGGCATCAAGCATGCACATGATGAATATACATTCAGGCTAAAGATCCATATATACAAAACATATATATGTATATACTTTTTTCAAGACAGGGTTTCTCTGTGTAATAGCCCTAGTAGTCCTAGAACTAGCTCTTGTAGACCAGGCTGGCCTCGAACTTACAGACATCCACCGGCTTCTGCTGGGGATTAAAGGTGTACACCACCACCACCACCACCACCACCACCACCACCACCACCTGACTTACACATCTTTAAATTTAAATAATCAAGTCAAGCATTGGTGGCACACACCTTTAATCCCAGCACTCAGAACAAGGCGGATCTCTGTGAGTTCAAGGTCAACTTGGTCTACAGTGCAAGTTCCAGGATGGCAAGAGCTGCAGAGAAACCCTATCTTGAAAAAAACAAAAACAAAAAAGGGGGGGAGGGGATTTGATTTTTTTTTTTACATACTTTTTATCTTTGGGTATGAGTACTTTGCCTGCATGAATGTATGAGCACTGTGTGCTTGCCTGGTTTTCTCCCTGACCACAGAGGGTGTGGAGCCCTTGGAGCTGGAGTGACGGACAACCGTGAGTCAGCACTTGGGGACTGGGAACTGCTTGCTCACTGACCATCTCTCCCCAGTAGTGTTCTCATGTTTATCTTCGAAGTTCTACGTAAACAATCCTGGCA